CTTGAGAGTCTTCTCCTGGAGGCCCCAGGCAGCCAAGGGGACAGGTGGAGGTGGGAGCCCCGGGATCTTGACCCTGGATGGGGTCAGAGATCATCCGGGTTGGAAGCAATTGCTTAATCCAAAACCAGACTTGGCAAAACCAGATTTGGGTTTTGGATTACGCAATCAGTGGTGGGGCAATCCGTGGTGAGGGCAGCCTAGCTCGCCATCTCAGCGGCCGCCGATGGCAGGCTGCAGTCCCGCACAGGCTCTGGGGATGCCCACGGGAAGGACGGGTTGGATGCTGGAACCTGTGGGCAACCAGTGAGGAGGCTGAGTCCCCTCTTTGTTTTTGTTTTTTTTTTTTTAATATATTTTTATTGATTTCAGAGAGGGAGGGAGAGGGAGAGAGAGGGGATCATTGATGGGTTGCTTCCTGCATGCTCCCTCCGGGGGACCGAGCCTGCAACCCAGGCATGTGCCCTTGACTGGAATTGAACCCGGGACCCTTGAGTCCGCAGGCCGACGCTCTATCCGCTGAGCCACACCAGCCAGGGCTGAGGTCCCATCCTTGGAATGTTGGGGGCAGCCAATGAAGAGAGGGGTTGTTGCCTGCTGTGACCCCCAGTCTCCGCGGAGTTGGGAGGTGTCATGGGCACTTGGGAGGGGAGAGAGTCTCAGGGGCCTCCCTCTTCTGCCCCCCTAGACATGACCACTCCCCTGGGCCTTAGCCGCCAGCACCTCAGCTACCTACAAGAGATTGGGAGCGGCTGGTTTGGGAAGGTGAGTGGGCTGGGGGGGTGGGAGGCAGGGGGTCCATACGGTCCGGGGCTGTATTCCTGTGTTGTGTCCATCCCCCTGCTCCTACCACTTCTCATCTGCTCCCCGCCTGCTCCCTTGGCCCCCTCAGTCCACCCATCACCCTCACCTCTGTCCACCTCTCACCCACTCCCACCCGCCCCACCCCCCCTCATCTGTCCGTCAGCGCCTCCCACCTCACTCCATTGATCACTCCGCCTCGCCACCTGGCTCTCCACGCGTCCGTCTGTCCATCCTTCCATCCGTCTGTCCCCGCATCCATCGGACTCTGGGCTTGTGAGTCTCTGACCCGGCACCCGATGGGGGACTAGGGTGGGATATGAGGGGAGGGCCTGGGAAGAGGGGGACGTTGGGAGCCTGCGGTGGGCGGAGGGGACTCCAGGGGAGGGGGCGGGGGAAACCACACCCTCTGACGCCCGGGTCCCCCCTGGACCAGGTGATCCTGGGAGAGGTGTTCTCAGACTACACGCCAGCCCAGGTGGTGGTGAAGGAGCTCCGGGCCAGCGCCGGGCCGCTGGAGCAGCGCAAGTTCATCTCGGAGGCACAGCCCTACAGGTATGCTGGGCGTGGGCCCTGGGGCCGGAGCGGCCGGGGGTGCGCCTCCTGGAGGTGACCTTTGGAAGTGGGCGGAGCATAGTGTGGGGTCAAACCAGGGTTCGAATCCTGGATCTACCTCTTCCACGCTGTGCTGCTCGGTCAAGGGAGCTCCCCCCCCGTCTGAGCCTCGGGTTCTTTCTCTCTCGGGACGGAGCCAGGGATATGAGAGGCAGAAGGAGGAGGGCAAAGGGAGGGCCCGGAAGCAGAGCTGGAGGCCTGCCCTGTCCACTCTGAACCTCAGTATCTTCCTCTGGAAAGTGAGTCCAGGAAGCCCGAGGGTTCTCATGTAGAGGGTAGTGGAAGGGGGGGGGGCGAGGGTACCCCGTAGTGAGCACTGGGTACATCTCAGGCCCCTGCTTCGTGGGTGAGGAAGCGTGGAATCAGAACCACAGCCCAGGGCCCTGAGCTGGCATTCGAAGTGGCCACCGAGGGGCTCCGTCCCCTCTGCCTGCCCCCATGGACGAGGAGGCGGGATCTTGTCCCCTCCCTGCTGGTCTCCCCGCCACTCTAAGGGCTTTAGGTAAACACTCACTAGAAAGTGCCTTGTGCTGTAATAAGCTCCCTATCGGGGAAGGGCTGTGTATAGAGAGACCCTTGTCAGACAGTTTAAACATGGGGTTTACCCCGAAAGACCCAGGCCTTGGATGTTGTCACTCCCTCGCTCTAAAACCGCCGTGGCTCCCTATTGCCCACAGGACCAAGTCCCGCTCCTCTGCACAGCCTGACCCGGTGCCCTTCCTGCCACTGGACCCCTTGCCCCAGCCGCCCTCCTCACTCACCCTCCCACCTGTCAGCCTGTTTCTGCCTCAGGACCCTGGCTGGCCCTGGCTGTTCCCCCTGGGATATCACTCCTGGCTCGGACCCTGCCCTCCTAGGTCCCAGCTCAGACAGGCCTGTGTGCACATGTGCACACGCGCACACGTACACTCACGCATGTATGCACACACGCACATCCAAGGCAGGCCCTGGGATCCCCCACACATCAGCTCCTGTGTTTTCTTCATAACACATACCCAGTTTGTCGATTTCCATCTGCTTCGTTGCTTATTTGCCTGTCTCTGCTGGCAACCGCTAGCCGCGTAGGGCGATTCACATTGATGTCCAATCAACTCAAATTAAAAATTCACTTCCTCCGCTACACTCGCCACAGGCCAGGGCCCAGTGGTCACACAGGGCCAGTGGCTGCCGCGGAGACAGCCCGGGTCTAGAGCGTGTCCACCTTCACAGAACTCTCTGTTGGAGCCGGCAGGACTGCACCGGCCACTCGGGGTCCTCGTTGTCCCCTGGGCACAAGTGCCACCGGCCCTGGGTAGACTGAGCGAGCCAGACCCGAGATCCAATCCCAGCTCAGCCGCCGCGCCCCGCTGTGTGACCCTGGGCTAGTCGCTCTGCCTCTCTGAGCCTCCGTTTCCCCGGCCCCCACGGGGCACAGCGTCCTGCCGCGCAGGGTGGCGGGAGGATCTGATAGCAGGAGCGGCGGCCGGGGCTCCGATTGGTAGGTGTGCAGTGAGCCCAGCTTCCTTCTACGTCTGCCGTCCAATCGCCGGCACGGAGGCTCCCGCCGCTTTTCGAGCCCCGGCACAGACCCGGGTAGAAGCAGGAACGAGAGGCCTATTTTCCCAAGCAGAGCAGGTTGGAACACGGGCCGGGGATGGCCGGGCCCTGGGCTCTGGACCCTGCAGTGCATCCGGGCGCCAGAGGGCAAACGGCTAACCGAGCACATACTCGCGCCAGGCGCTGGGCAACCACGAGCAGCCCCTGCCTCCCCCGGGCGCCAGAGGGCAAACGGCTAACCGAGCACCTACTCGCGCCAGGTCTGGGCTGCAGGCCTGGAACGGCTCATCTCCCCCAGGCCCCAGGCCGTGTGGCGAGGCCAACCTTTCGTTCCACACGTGTTTATTGAACACCTACTGGTCTGAGGCACTAGGGATGTGGATTCATGAACAAAAAGCCCCCAATCCTAGGAATTGGCTGCCTAGTGAAAGAAGGGGCACCCCCGGTGTTGGGGGTCAGTGCGGTTTCGTGGGCAAATGATGTTGCGGCGGAGGCCTGAGGGGTGAGGAGGACTCTGATAGGGAGGGTGTAGGACTGTCCGTGCAAAGGCCGGAGCCTAAGCAAGAACCTGTGTTTGCAGA